CCCAAAAAAAACCTATTTTCGTTTTTTTGTGTGGATATTTTGACATCTAAGACGAATATATAACATAAAAGAATTAAAATTAGCACAATTCTGTACAAACTATTTTATCGATTCATACCATTGTGCATTATAAGCTCTCGGACTGTACCCATAATGAGACCTTGGTTTAAATATTGCTAGGATTTTATAATAATAAAAGAGGTCATTGTTGTAGTTATTGCAATAGTTCATACCTCCACTTTCTCCTATCAAATTCTGTGCTGTGAGGCCCGCCCCCGGATGTTCTTTTCTTTCCGTACATGAATTGGCTGCCGTGGGCAAGCTAATATCCAAACAGTCGCAAATCGCCATGATAAAAATTGATACGGAAATATTTTTTTTAATATCCATACAGTCACCAAACAACATGATAAAAATTGATATGGAAATAATCTTTTGCCATATTCAGCTTGATACTTGTTGGTTGGGAAAGGAAAATCTACATGTTACTTGTTTGTTCTGCAGATGAATAAGAAGTTGCAGCAACTGAAGGCACCAAAAAAGAAGCAACTTCAGGCATCAAAACTCAGCGTCGAGGGACGTGGCATGGTCAAATACCTGTAATCAGGATCCTCATCTGGTCAAGTACGAGTAATCAGGATCCTCATTTAAGTGTCATTTCTTTCTATTTGAATTACTCTGTTTGATGACACCGCGAGATTACATTTCGACGATGGTGCAAAATCTTGCTGCTAGCTTCAGAGGAAAAATGCTAATGCTAGGAAACTATGTTCTTGTGTTAAGTATACTCAGTGAGCCTCAAGTGAAGTTTTAAATTATATGTGGATGAGTTTGGGAAAGTTACAGGAACTCTCAAGGCTTGGATATAATAAATGTAGCAAGCTTGTTATTCAATCTGTCACTAAAATGAAGTCAAAACTTGTTTTCTGTCTCCTTTATAAATGTTTTGAATTGTTCTTGGTTACTCAGGCGCATTGATCTGAATGGTTTCCGACGACCAGGGACTGCTGTTCTTTGTAGTCCTAAAGAAATTTGAACTGTCATTATCAGCTGTTTTTTTTTTAATTTATCACTTCCATTGTACATGACACAATTATTTCTGATCAAAAAAATGATCCCACTCATGCTCTTCTCCTCTACCGACCAAACCGTGCTTCCAGCTGTGATGTTCATCATCTTCAAGCCCTACGGAAACCCCGTCTTCAACCTCTCCCCTCCTCTTCTCAACCCTCTTGATCACCCCCTCAACAGCTACATCAAAAGCATCCTTCACTCCTTCAATCTTCACCCTAGGATCATTATACACCGATCTCGGTATAATCCTCACGACCTCCTCTCTCATTCTCTTCACCTCACTCTCCCCAAAACCCCTCAAAACCTCTTCTACCCTCACCCTCCCCTCCCTCACATCATCCTCCGGTATAAACACCGAATACGTCGTATAATTCCTCGGTAGATGCCATACGTACTGCACGTACGCCGACCCTGGATGAAAGAACACGGGGATACACCCGGCCAACATAGAATCGAACGTCGATCGCCTCGTATACGAATCCCCCTGGGGCTGTAAACAGAACACCGAGCTCTGGAACAACTTCATCACCCTACTAGGAGAGTGGCATTTACTAGGCCCCGAGGGGCATTCTAGCAACTTGCATCGCTCCGACGACCGACATTGCTCGATAAGCAGGTCTCGGATAGATCCGGTCGTGTTCGGCCTCGGCGCTCCGGCGAACGAGAACAGCCACGGCCTCTCTAGGCTCCTCATCCTCTCTTGCCAAGATACAACCTCTGCATTTGTTGAAGGATGGAAGTAAGTAGGGTAAGGTATACCAACGTCATTGCTATGCCAAGGACTGGACTCAATAACCAAACAAGTCATGTTTTTAGCCTCGGGCATCAATAACAAAGTGCTACCCCAGTCCCCATACTCACTCAACCTCCTAAAATCCCAAGTGATCCTCCCGGCGACGAAGAAGTGATCTCGGCCGTCCATCCGGGACCACTCCGGCCGTGATTTCAGCCAACGGATGAGATCGACCGCCGACGCGTCTCGGACCGATGAATTGTGTCCCCATAAATACCTACCAATGTCAAGACCCGCATAAAAAGGGACGTAGATAGCCGATGCTAAGGATGGGTTTGTAGTTAAACAGTCGTACGTCTTCATTCTATTGTGAAATATGAGCTCGAGCGTGAACTGGTTAGTATTATACCAACCGGTCTCGGATAAAATCCCGTCGGGGTTGCCGATCGGTGGTCCGAGACCGGCGTTGGCGGTGAACGGGCACATGTCGGTCCACGTACTGAGGTCGTGACATGCAGAGATTAGGTCCGAATTGAACTTGCTAGGAAGGGTTTGGACGTAGATGTATCGGCCGGCGCATCGGTCGACGCCGGCCGGTCGCTCGGAGAAGTCGTAGGAGAAGAGGAGGAGGAGCCAGAGGGCAAAGAAGATGGTGGTGAGAGAATTGAAGAGGAATTTAGCGTTGTTGAGCTTGTTGAGTTTCTCCATGGTTTCGCTTTGATTGTAGGAGGATGTTAATGAGAGAAGAGAAAGCCTATAAAATTCAAGGGAGGATGGATGAATAATTCTCTTGGTGACGTGAAATTTGGAAAGTTTTGTGATTAATCGGGATCTACATTTGGCTGCCATGTTAGGAAACGATTTAAATTTAATTAATTTAGTAGGTTTTTATTCTTAAATATTGCACTGTACCCCTGTTGAGGGGATGCACAGCATGAAATGGGTCGTGAACCTTGACTCGGCTCATTCAGAGACATTGGGCTCAATAGGATAATAACGAGTCAAGAAAAAGCTGATGACGATCTTGTACGTTGACAAATACGAATATTCGTAAGTCTATTCGATTAGAACGTAACGAGAGTGTAAGTACGGTGAAGCGTCTTAATTAATCATCTCGTTGATTATTCGATCATGTTAGTATCCATTTTATTTATAATTTTAAAGTTGAACGAGCTTGCGCCGAGCTCATAACACAGTTAAAATTTCCCTCCCTTGTTCTTGTAGAACGTAAATAAACGAGCTTCGTTAGAGTCTAGAGAAAATGAATATTGAGGAGGACTTAGTTAAGCTTTTTTATATATTCAAAGTACAATGAACTGATCCCAATGTTCATTCTTGCACGTGCTCTCTCATTGAAGGCCGCCTTACGTTTAGTAGCCCTCGTGCCCTTTGCTTCAGTTTACGAAATTCTCGAGTGTACGGACACTTCCCTTATTATAACCTTATATAACTTAATGGGCCTCCAATTGATGAAATACACTAGACTTTTAGCTTCAAGGGCCTTGTCGGTTATGGCATATATTAATGACCTTTACAGTAACGGGCCGAAAAAGAGAACCCATTTGTTTAGGCGATTTAATTCTTTGTTTATAGTTAGCTTCGTATGGCCCAATTAATGCCCAATTAGAACATTGCTGTACAATGGGCCAATAGAACAAGCAAATCTGTTGTATATAGGCCCATCAGTGCCGTGCAATTGGTGTTGAATGGGCTTGGTCTAAGATTTTAGAATTTAGAGGCATATTCCTATGAGCGGATGACTAATACCTGGGAAAGAGGAAACCACATACCCAGAGTACAAATCCTATAAGAGAGCTTTGCTACAGGGACCCAAAATATGGGACCAATTGAGGGGACAAGTGAGGTGTCCCACTCCTATTGGATAATGAGTTGGCCATCATTAATGATTTAATGATGGCCAACTCATTATCCAATGGGAGAGGGACACCTCACTTGTCCTCTCTATTGGTCTCATATTTTGGGTCATTGAAGAATTTTTTATCCTATAAAGACCGTCTCAATAGGAGTGAGACTGTTTGAACTATAAATATAATAGTTAAAATTTCCAAAATAACCCTCTACCATCTTGTGAATGGTATAGATCATTCTGTTATATACGGGTTTTCGACAGAATTTGCACTCCTATCAGAGTTATTCTATCAACGCGCCCGAGAGAAATGAGAAGTTCACATTGTCTCATCACTAAATTTTTAAATTGGTGGTTGCACTAATTTACGGATTATTGTTATCTTCTGATATTTAAATATTGCACCGATTTGATATATTGCTTTCAATAGAGCAACCCCTTTAGTTTTGCTTCCCCCCCAACCCCCAACCTCTCCCCCCCTCCAACCCCCAATTAGGGGTGTGCAACGGTCGGTTCGGTTCGGTTTTTACCAAAATTTAAACAACCAAACCGAACCGTCTATAATTCAAAACCGAACCGAACTGTTGCAAGTCGGTTCGGTGCAGTTCGGTTCGGTTTGTTCGGTTCTAACTTCATCAAACTTCTTATCAAATAATAAACTGTGTTAAAGAAAAAAAGATATCAACAAAGTAGGAGATTATGAAGCATTAAACACTGATATAATGATATTGTTTTGAACCCATAATGATTCAGAAAATAAGTTTAGGGTTTGAGTCTTTGACTCTTTGGGGACGGGTCGAGTAGGGTTTAAGATCAGAATGTGTAGTATTACACTATATTCGGTCGGTTCGGGTTAAAAAGTTTTCAAACCGACTCGAACCACCTTACTCATAAAACCGATTTTTTCGGGTCGGTTCGGTTCGGTTCGGTCGGTTTTTTCGGTTTGGACCGAACCATGCTCCGAAACCACATGCTTAGCCCTACCCCCAACCTCTCCCCCTCCCCCAACAAACAAAAAAATCTTTCTCGCCTCATTTACACACACAATTGGCCAAGAAGTTTGGCGCAATTCAAGGAATAGTTAGGTGAACAACTTCACTTGCACCGCTTGAAATCTTCTCCAAGGTCCACTAAACAACAGCCTGTTCAACAGCCTGTTAATGACATTAGACCCCCCCCCCCCCCCCCCCCACCTATTCATTGAACTCCAAAAGTCGGCAGGTCGTACGGGATGAAAAAAGATTTGGTACATGCTTAGTTTCCTAGAGAAATAAAGGCACGGACCCGAGACTACTAGATTCAAATAAATCTTCGCATGTTTTTGCTTGCTTAAGCATGGGACATAATTAATTGGAGTTTCTATTTGCCCACCTTTTTTTCTTTTCCCCTCTTTAGTACTTTATGTTCAAATCCTCTTGAAAGGGACTTATAAATTAAGACAACCAACGGAGGGTGTTTATTGCTAAAAGTTTTTTAAACTTCAAGTAATTTAGTCCTAACTGTTGCCACGCATGATTGCTCTCTTGATAATAATATTATTCGTATAATTCCAAAGCACTTAAAACAACCGATAACAATATATCGGCCTCCTTTTTTTTTTTTTTTTTTGTTTGCGAACCATGCATATATAACACAAGACAATTGGACTGATTTGATATTTTGATTCCATCACAAAAGATTATGAGAGTAGGTGTTTATATGTATACAGATTTAGAGGCCTACCTACTGTTGATTTGTCTTTTGTTGTAGATTTATTAGGAGCATGTTTTTCTATGGAAATGAAAGCGTCCTCATTTGCTATAAGGGCCCGTTTGTTTGCAATTTCCCCCTTGGAAAGCCTGCCACATTTTTAGGAAATGTCAGAAATGTGGCAGGCTTTCTTGCAAAGTCGTCCAAATTTGAAGATTTTGCAAGAAAGCCTGCTACATTTCTGATATTTTTCAGAAATGTGGCAGGCTTTACAAGGGGAGAAATTGCAAACAAACGGACCCTAAGTGCTTATCATAACGCCGTGTTATTTAATTCTCAAGGGAAAACTTCAATTCTTATGTGTATAAAAACTACACGAAAGATCCAAAGATACGTACGGGGATACATCTTTTGTCTTATTTAGCTCATTTCCTACTTTACTAAAGTTAATACTTAGTATGCGTGTGCCGGTCATGATCTCTTATGCTCATGCAAAATATAATATGAAATGTGTTTATTCTAGTTATTGTTCGTTTCTAAACTAGTAATTGCTAGTAATTTGCATTCTACGCAGGTAAAATCCCAATTAATAGTTTAAATTTCTCTTCTACTAGTTATGCATTGTAACTGTGTGCATTGATATGACGTGAGAAAGTGATCAAACTAACTTATTTTTGTAGATCTCAAATCATAATTAAAGTAAAATATACACAAAAAAATATGCAAGTATTAGACAAAATTTTATGTTTCTCCCTTGAATATTTTGTATTTTGTACCCCAATAAAGTATACGTTACAGTCCACGTAGTGAAGAAGTAAAATCATGCGGCCCTAGATTTGGGGCCCATATTAGATCCAACTACCAACATGATCCATCATAAAAGCAGTCCCTCTATTACTTAGTTGGGCCCAATAATGGCACGTTCCCTTGTCCTAGAGTATCAGACATAGCACGTGCTTCACCATGTGTAACTCAAGCAGCGACCCGTTGCATGGCACTTGATGCATCATCACCACCATCATCATCGTCTCTAACCATCTCAAGCATCTTCATAGGGCAGCTGGCATGTGTATGATCATGGTGGTCCTTATGCTCATGATATATGGGATGACCATTGATACCATATTCTAAGTTTTTTTCTTTTCTTTCTTTATTATTATTATTTATGTTCGATGTTTTATATATACTTTATAAGAGAAAATGCGTTAGGAGCCTAAAACGAGCTTAATGAAACCCTCTATAGTCTCTACACAAAAGGTGTAGGTTTTACTTTATGATCTATATCTATATGCCTTCAAATATTTTCACTTGCAAAATTGAGTTTTTGTCGACGTTTTCCATATTTTTCTAACACGGTTTAATAATTTGCCCTCCGTATTTTCCACTAGAAAATATTTTTCACTATATTCTCTTTTCTCGATAAGTTTATATTTAATGTTTGGCAAGAATAGATAAATTATTTGAGACTAGAAACAACCTATGGATAGTGTTGATGCTCGTGAACAAACAGTCGATGGGGGTTGTCGAGTTACTGGATCGTCGAGATGTTGAATCGTCGAGAGGGGTTCGCTTTCCTTCTTCGACTTTATGTTTGGTTCTTAGAGCTCGGGGCGGACGGACCACCTACACATACAAGAATCATGGGAGTACGGGGCTTGTTTCCCTCGTGGTACCTCCGACGGTCAAGTCAGCTATCGGACTTGGGTGGGGTGAAGGAAGAATAGTGTATCCTCCCTAAAATAAAAGATGTAGTTTTTAAGTAGTAAGGAGAATCCAACCTTTTTTCATGACGAATAGCATATGTATTTATAGAGGATGCCCAAAGGCAGAATAGACACTTCGTGAGTGTGCGGTCTAGGATGATGGTGAGGGGTGAGCTGAAGGCTGAGTCACCCTTTGCTCTATACGTGTCGATCTGCGAGTGATGGAAAGTCACTTCAGTAATATGGGGAACCCGCAACCACCAAGTCTTTTCGATGAGCGGCGAGAAATCACTTCAGTGTCGCAGGGAACCCTCAGCCGTCAAGGTTCCAGATGGCTAAGGACGGAGACATAATGATGATCATAAAAGGTTAAATAATGCTGAGAAGAAATGTTCTGAGCCGCCATTGGGAGGAGTGTCGGCTACTTGCTAAGCAGTAATCTTTTGTTA